ATTCTGAGAGTTGCCCAGTAACAGATCTTGTGCCTCACTTGGAAGCATGAACCAACGTAAGCGATCTGTGCTTTCATCAAACATAACACACTGATCAGCCAAAGGGTACCGCTGAGCCATCTGGAAAAAGAAAGAAATGTCTTAAGAAATAGTTCTGATTCACCACACTCCTTAACTCTAGCAAGCAGTGTTTCTCCACTGATCACCGCTGAACATACTAAGAACTGAGAACCCACATACATCTTCATAACACGATGCATTAGCATACGGACAATTGTACCTCTTCACAAAAACTTTGTTAACATACCTTTCTTGCCTTATTGAATATGTTCCTGGCAGTCTGCAGACACTCTGCATAATCTTGGGGTGGGAACGTGCCATGTCCAGATACTCTCCGTTCATTTACCGTCATCTTGCCATCAACATAGCGGATCGATCCAAGCCACTTTCTATCTCGGAACACCTACAAAAATAAAATGCTTAATATTTTTAAGAGCAATGAAAAATGATCTGCACAGAATCAGTTCTCACAACCTTAAAGATGTTGACTGTGGTGTTCCAGATTACATGTACCACGCAAGAATAAGGTATTAGTGAAACACAGCGCTCCACTGGAATGAAAATAATGTTACATTTGTCATCTCTAGTTTGGATTATACAACATCAAAGTTAACGGAACATTCTTCTTTTGAACATACCGTGTTTGTATGATGCCGCCATTCACCAGTCTCAGGATTGAGGATATACTGTGGAAGCAATTTCCATGCTTCAGTTGCCACCATCTTGAGAGATTCAAGGACAAAAGCTACTTCAGAATCCGACATGAAGAATGGAAAGCTGATACGAGCAAAGCCAGGTCGCAGCATCTCAAAACTTGAATGCTCTTCCCTTCGTCGAAGGTGCGTCCGATCTAAACGTCTGAACACAAATTCAAATCCAATAAAATCAAAGACAGCACGCTCGGCATACTCACAAAAATCAAGTGTTCACACTACAATATGTTCTAAAACCAAATGTAAATTAAAGACCATAAAATGCAAGATGAGAGTAACGTCATTAGATTGATTAGCAAGGCGGACAGAATTTTCACAGCCATTTGAAGTTTCTTTTAACTTTGTCTCTCAAATCATAATATACCTCAAATTCAGTGAACTCTTCTGGCCAAGAGAGAGAGAGAGAGAGAGAGAGAGAAGAGAGAGAGAGAGAGAGGCTTCTTCTAAATATTTTTAATTCCTCGGTCTACGAAACAGAATTAACACACACGTCCACTTTTAGCATTATGGATGACTTCAACATCATGCTTTCTTACTTAATTTTTGTAACACGCATATTACTTACGAATCCTCGAGCAGAATTGCCTCATATTCTCGTGCCAAATCTTCACTTATTCCTAGCAAGTCTTGAGCATAAGGACCAGCACACGCACAGCCTCCACGTGCCTGTATTCCGAACACGTCATTCAGGACTGTACATACAAAATTGTGATGCAGGAAGGTTCCACGTGGATGGCGAACCATAAAAGAAAAGACAGGGAGTCTCTTCACAGACTGGGAGCTAGTGCCCAGAAGAATGAGTTCTGGAATGGTGCGAATATGAGCCAGGACCATCCTGAGAAAAACATGTTATTTATATGTTATATGCAAAGAATCTTTATGGACCACCAGAACTAATATGAACAAATCACATGCACTTTGTGAGTTGGAGGTCCCTAGTTCTGTTCCCTTTATTTACAAAATGAGCTCCTTCTAACCTTGATATTCTTTCCTCACGTGCCATGATGGCCTGCACTCCTACAGTCTCCTTCAGCTGCATCACGAGCCCCGCCCTCACAGACTCCACTATAGCCGCAGTCCCACCTTCTTCTCGAAGCTCCGTGTCCTGGAGATAGCGATGGCTGTCCCTCGTCACAAAGAACACCGTCCCGCCTCCGCAGCCATTTGGTGCTGTATTCTTAAAGAGAGCCTTCTTTGCAATAAGCACTCCTGGAAACACAAGCGATAAATGTTTATGAAAAGCAAAACAAATTTGACTTATGACCTGCACAGAGCACAAAAGAAATAGCAGTGAATGTCAGAATGATTCTGACTGATGAATTGAAAAGGATACAGGAGAGTGTGGTCATAATCTTTAAGGTATACGTCAAACATTTGCCTGGAGGGCCCGAAGAGAAATGTGCAAAAGCTCAGCCAGGATAGATGATCCGCAGATTGATAACAAACTTTCAGAGCGTCTAAAAATAAAGTTGCAGTTCTAACCACTACTTTCCAAAGTTCAATATTGGTACAACATATTTATGTCGCATATGGTAATTCTGTGGATGGAATCCCAAGGTCAATTATGCTGATCAAGGCTTCCGTATATCAAATCTAAAACTTCTTGACGATGGTGAAGAGTCCAATGAATAAAAATTTCCTTGGATATTATCCATCGTCTGGTAAATATAAAACGTAAAACGTCGTTTTTATTCGATTAAGGCTTCCGTAGTTTTCACAATTTTCTTTCTGTGAAAATTAGGTCAATAACTAGGCCTACAAGTGCCCCCCTGATAATTTTAAATCCAAACGTTTGCAGAAAAAAAATATAAAAGTAAAATATAAATTCACAAAAGACAAACATTTTGGAGATTTTTCTCCAACATAAATTTGATATACAGAACACTTGAAGAGTTTGCTCTACTTGCAAACTTCTGATATAAGGTTATCACGCACGCATTTCTGTTCGATTCTTTTGGTAACGTCTAGCATCAAGGCTGTTATCAAAGGGTCAGGGTAGAAGTACAAAAATTATATCAGTGAACACTGCAAACAGCAATTATTCAGAAAGGAAAGAAAGAAGAATAAAAAAGAACCACACACATGCAAGCGCATGCACATATGCAGAGAGACACAGAATGAACTTCAAACATTAGATACCAGATAGATTTTTCAGAAATTACAAATGCAATGGCCACTTGAAACTCAAAGTATCTTACAAGCAAAAACACGTCCAGTCTCAGGCGATGAATCAATGTATTGACACTCCTACGACAGACAACCCACCTGTTTGGCTATTTGCCCAAAGCACGGCTAGGAAATTATTACTGACGCGTGCATTTCATTGCACCGACCTTGAAACGCAACTGATAAAGTTGCACTCGCATTACTTCACCAGTTATACAGCAAATAAAGATAGTTATAATTAAATTAAAAGGTCGCTAATTATGTAACAGGCAAACAAACACGATTAGCACGGCAAGATACAAACCTGGTGTTTGTACTCCTCCGACAAACTTATGTACAGAAAAGAACATGGCATCTTTGTAGACCGCTCGCTCATCTACACCAGGTAGAAATGGATTCATATCCAATTTAACGTAGGGAGCTGAAATAATACAGACAAACCATTATAATTACTTAGTTACTAGCAGAATATTATGCTTTTGTTCTTACACAGTAAAGGTGTTAACGTCGGTCTTCCGGGTCGTTATACTGTGCAGACTACCGGGTAGTTTACAACGGTTACCTGCAGCAGCGTAATCCCAAAACGCAAATGCACCGTACTGATGCAGCAACAGCGTAGTCGCTATGTCATCTGCGATTATGCCAGTTATGTTGGATGCAGCAGAGAAACAGCCAATCAGCTGCCTTCCTGTCCCCTGATGAAGCTGCAACTGGTGCTCCAAATCATCCAAATCAAGATAACCATCTTTCCTCTCGGCGATACGGACAATCTACAAAAACACAGTAATAACCACTGGTGGGAAATCCTGTTCGCCCAGTCACAACATGAACGAAGATGGAATGAATGAATATATTACCAAAACTTAGTATGCATTAGGTGCCAAATCCAAAAAAAGTCTAACATTTCCTAGATATACTGTGTTAAACATTAACGGGCCTGCCATACCCTGGGGCATCGTGTTTATTAAGGCGATGTTATGAATGTGGCATCTTCGCAGAGACACAGATCCAAGAAATTATTTTCCAGTAACAGAACATTACACATTCTGAAACAGTCTCGACTGTACCTACTCTTAACCGGTGTCACTGACGAACGGTGAAAACAGGTGCTTTATAAGAAGCACGCAAAATTAAATTAGTCAGAAGCAAACTTTACTTACCATAGAAATAACATTCCCTTGATTAATAAGGAATGGTACCTCAGACATTGCTTTCGGACTCAGGATGGAATCACGTGAATTTTTAAGAGGGGGCAGAAATCTGTTTACTCTGCTCTTGCAGGAACAACTGACATAATTTTCTACGTCACTATGCGAGTGTTCCAATCGGGTGACACGCACCTTGGCACCCCGTTCCCTCCAAGGAAGCAAGTTGGAATGATGCTCGCATGGTCCAACAAATACGACGGGTGGCTCCGACAGATCAAGAGCATGTATAAGCTTATGAACGGCGCCCGTGCACCCTTGACCGGCAAAGATCACGGCATCATGTTCAGATGCATGGACCGCATTCCTGAAAACATCCCGTGCCTCGTGCCTAGAACAATACAAAAACTGTTTACGTGTGTTTGAAAAGAATCATAAGTGCAATTAGGATTGAAAAATTATTTTTAAATTATTTATTATATTTTAGTGCAACGATCGCTGTCCTGTATTCTGGTAGAAGTTTACCAACGTTTGAGAGGTCCTTGCTGCCTACATCGTCATCGACCTGAAGATAAGAGCTGTATGGCGCTTGAACTCTCCTTGATTTGAAATTATCTTCTAACAAACTGACCTTCGCATCACAAAACATATGGGACAAACAAACATAAAAAAGTAGGAAAAACTCCTTGGAAGATGGGTTGGGCAGGTCTTACGTCCTTGTGATGTTTACACAGTGTCTTGTTATGTACGAGACACTTAACCATGTGAAGAACCAGTGGACAAAGCGATGTTAATTCCATTTACAGCAAGCGATGCGTTACTGAGGCTATTATGCCACTGACTTATTTGTGCGACAAACAGCACTCACTTGACATCTGTTTGTGTGCATTTCAAAGAATTCTCCTTGAATTCAGTAGACATCATCATCTTCAGCTGTGCGGGATGAGGTCCTTGTTGTGTTCCGATTCTGAATTAATTCTGTAACCGTGAATCCTTATGCAACCGATACGTCTCGCCAACTGGGCCATCGCAACGCGACACAGAAAAACGGACACACATCCACGACGCGACCAGGATTCAAACCCGCGACCCCTGTGTTCGATACAAGGAAGTAACTATGCCAAATGTTGTTAATCCACACTTAATTACATTTTCACACTTCGCAGCAAGTCAAGTGTTGTTAAACTAGCAAGGTTAACCAGTAAGTGAGTAATCCATTATCGAGATTCTAATGACGTGTTCATGGCTAATATTTCAGTCACTTGAATTAAGTGTAGGTTAGGTCAGGCGGAAAAATTACCGTTTGAATCAAACACAAAACGACACACAGAGCATCGTTTTGGCTGGTTTTTATATCATCGCGGTGATTCGGGCCAATACTTTTGTGTGAGTTTAATGAGTTGATATTGCACGTGTGTGTGTATGTGTGTGTGTGTGTGTGGGGGGGGGGTCATGGCCCAAAGTGGACTTAGAAAAGTCTGAGACTGTCAAATTATCTGTTCCGTGGATTTAGTTACAATATTATGTCTGCAAGGTTTATGCTATTTTGACAGGCAGTGGCTGTACTTGAAGGCAAACTTTTACGAGATAAACATAACGAGCTATTCATGGAGTTTATGGACTGAGGAGACATCAAGGTCGCTCACTTGTCCCAAAACATAAATACTGAGTTTATTCCTCGTAGTAAGGACGAGGAACAATACGCCGACGTGACATCAACCACTGTTAGCTGGGAAAACAGCGCACGTCGTGTACGAAGACTCTGAAGATTCAGGCGGTATGTTCCTCCGAAACGTTGGTGGGACTAGACGACCTCACAATCCAGAACACCACAATTCAAATGTTCAAAACCGCTAAAAAAAATCGTATCTCATAAAGTACGGGTATCACAAATTTGAAAATGTGCGTGTATACCTGAAAACGAGCCAAGAAAACGTAATATATATACAACAGCGAAGGTTGCCAAATGCTTTAGCTTTGAACTAGGAAGAAAGGTTACAGAACACGTGTTCTGCGAGTCGTGGGACGCCTATGAATCATGCGTCTTCACAGTTTGCTTCCTGGACCAATATCACCGGGTATCTTCGTGCTGAACGCGTGTCCTAAACGGAATCAGCGGGACTGGACCGTCGGTGCGTCACAAGTACCCGGGGGACTGCGCAGATCTGACAGCGGCCGCACTTCGACAAAGGTCACGCAGTGAGCAGCGAATGTGGAGATGAATTTGTAGCATTTCGTCGTCTCCCGCCAAAACGCACGGAGAGAAAGAGAGAAAAATGTAACAAAGTTCAAACATCTGGAACGACAGTACGAAATTGGAATAGGGAAGACGACTGTCTTCTGGGCTCCAGTGACGGACCTCCGAAACGTCGGTAAACATCTACAAGACCACACGGCGCTTAAAAAAAATCTTCATACTCGCAGATATGAGAACCTGAAATCCTACCAATCAAAATAACATTCTTAAACATCTGAGAGGACATTATATTAGGGAAATGCCAGCTCAAACTGTTTTAAAACGCAAAGAAACAGTTTTTACCCGTTGCGTTCTACGACAGTAACAAGAATTCGCCACAAAGTCTATTATCAGGGCGTTCAGGCCGATGGAAATAAGATGAGGGAGATGATAAATGTACACAGAATTTTGACCGGAAAATCTACTATAGCAAAACTTGATTTTCCGAGGTGCTTCGCCCTTCGGGACGATTCTGTCGTGAACGTACCGGAAGAGAGTAGACTGCAGAGAAGTGATGCTTGTTGTGGTGTGGGTGTTTCCATAGCTGGGCAGAACTTCCCGAAGGATGTAATCCTCGATGAACTGCAAAGACCTTCCAGATGCAGTGTAGTCGCAATACACGACTGAAACAAACAGATTACATCCACGAAATTACGACTCTCCCGCGTGCAAAGTAGGGCATCGATTTCCAGATCTGTTTACTCAGTAACCACGACGCCCGTCCCACGTGAACTGGCGTCGCTCAACTGTTGAATAAAAGACACTGTTACTGAGAAGTCTGTCGTGATGACGGCATGCCCAGTTCTCGGCTCATTACACATCCTAAAATTCTTCTGAGTTGTTGCGCCGAATAGACGTTTCAGAGGCACTTGCAGCCTCCATCATCAGGGCGATGACGCGGTTCACTTCTAACAGACTATACGGCGGCAAAACCCGGAAGACGGCCAGATCCTGAAGAGAACTAGGTTGCTGATGGGCACTTTGAAATGTCACTCAGGGACGTTAACCCAGGCGGATCAATGGTCATCGCGTGTAAGTCAGTTCTACACTTTTACATAACCCACTTACTCGAACGTAAATGCCTTGAACTATCATGTCGGAGTTTAGCCGAAAGTTTTGTGTCATGGCGTTCGAGGACCAAAGGAAGGGAGTAACAGGACAGCTTCATAACTTAAAAGCATACTCTTGAGACAAGACAGGGTAAGTGGCATGGGAGACACAAGAAATCCATACAGAATTTTAGTTGGAGAATCTGAACGCAAGACCCACGCGTAAACGAGTTTAAAGAAACAAGACGTATTACTTGTTAGGTGGATTCATCTGACGCCCGACTTAGTTTCTGGATACGACACGCAGAATACTAAAGCGACTTCCAGGTCAATGTTAGGTCAAGGATAGAATCGCTTGTTTTAAGGTGTATGTGTGCTTCATTGATTTTCGTATAAAATTTATAAGACGCAGAAGAGACGCTCCCAACTGCGTGGTCTGAAATCGATCCTGCAAATTGGTCCAGTCCACGCATCTCACTATAAGCCCAATGGTAACTATATGTACCACCCGCTTTAGCAATCAGTAAAGATGCATTTTCCCCACAGAATTTATTTACGTGTTTCGTATTATTCTCACAGTAAACAGCGTCAAACAGCTGATCTCTGTAATGGTGAAGTGAGGTGTTTTCTTCGCGGTACGGACTGGATTCTTAAATACTGACACGGCCCTGCATCTCAGAAGTGGGTTCAAACCTCAGAGAACCAACCAAATCTTTTGGACAAGTTGCCTGACGGGATAACCTCCCATCAGCACCAACAGACCCCAGTTTGAATGGTCGAGGCTCACGCCACGACAGAACCCGTTAGCGTAAGCAAATTCCCGTAAACTCTGATTACCATTTCCAGCAATGCGTTTCGTACGCAGGAATTGTGTCACCTAGCAAGGGACGATGTCTTGCATTTGCACAGGAATGTTTGGTTGGTTGGTATCTTCGTCTATTAATCTGCCAATCAGAAGACTTGGGGTGGACATGGGTAACCTCAGTAATAATCAAAATTAAGGATCCAGCCCTCCACATTTTCCGGTCACAAGGATTAAAAATGAGAGAAGCGTATGTGAAATCAGTTCCTGATCACGGAGGTACTAATAATGCAAATCTGCTGACGTCCAGACGTGTTAGAAGTTTAAATTTGCACCGCGGCTTGGTACCAATTACGTAACACAATTCTACGTAATTTTCAAGTAGCTATTAAACCGTAATGAGCTGACTTCAATGTCGTGTCTTACAAGTTATGAGACACGACAATGAAGTATATTTAGTTACAAGTTATAATTAAATACGCAAACAAATAAACTGACAAAACTGTAGTACCAAATAAGATGTTCAAATTTTAAAGTTAGGTTTTAAAAGTGAAATAAAAGGCCAAGTGTAAAGTCTAAACGCAGATGGAATTATTTTTGGAGAAACAGGCGTGCACTCGATTTAACTGGCTTAGGCCAAGGTTCAGGGAACAGTGCACGATCCTTCAAGCTCCATAAAAAAAGGCGTAACTTATCTGAGTGTCCATCAACTCGTCTAGAAACTCTTTGCTTCATAGAGTTCATTTTCGTTTTTAATTCAGTTCACTTGCAATATGAAACCAACTTCTGAGCTTGACGTTTTCAATACGTGCCTTTGACTGTGACACAGAAACTAACGAAGGAATGTAATAAAGTTTCTAGGGTACATATCGAGCCCTTAAGGACACCAACGAATCTTCTGGTTCCAGAAAAGATTACTAATTTCTCGACCAAATACGCGGGTATTAATTTATCATAGACTCTGCTCAATTTTGCACTTCATGCTGTGTGAAACTAATAGTCGCATAAATTTTCCCACACGAGGGCACCATAACCTCCCATCGGACCGAGAATTACCGATTGCAACATTCGACATCCTGCCAGGAGGAATACAAGGAAATGTGTTATTACATGTCCGTCCACACGTAAATTTTTAATCCTTAACTTTATCACACAACGTCGCCATTTTTATTATGCTGGTGGTAAACAAGGCCGTGTCTTGGCAGAGGAGACGATGATCACTTTAATATGCAAATTTATTCACAAAATCTCGCCAAAAAATAAACCGTACGTGCAGAATCCGAAAGCTTTGCATTTAATGTGCTCCAAAACGATAGTCGTTTCGAATGATCGATCATTACCTCAGCCCTTTAAGGGCAAAGGTTAACACTTGGCGAGATTCAGGTTCTAACGGCACAAGTTTATCGACTTTTCTGAATCTATCATCGCGGAGGTGAGTTCCTGATGATGGATCATCAAAAGACTTGTTGAAATTTAGCGGGGAATCATCACTTTCGTCCTTCAAATGCAGGCCTCTTTAATTAACAACGGACAGACAGTAATTAAGATCGACTTTGGACTCTGCCACGCTGAGTTACGTAAATCGTGTTCCTTCTTTGTGTGATTTGGATAACGCGATCGACCACGTGGGTAAAATAACATCAGAGACGTGTGTACTGTTACTTCAACTGTTTCTGTACGACGCGTTATTCTGCAAGAACGGAAATATATCGCCTTATACGTCGAACTGACTAATGGAAGAAGCCGTTATTGCTGACGCATTAATGCAATTCAGTCCCGAGTACGCAGTTACATCGCATAAAGCAAAATGTTTACAAGTATGTATACCCTGTCTGGCCA